TAGATCCATGTCTCATCCATGGTGACAAATCGTCGTAGAAAATCGGTCGGATCCCTCTAGGATAGGTCCAAACATTGCTGCGAATGTCGTTTGCGCGTTTGCTTTTGATCTGCCTTCTGCAAATGCGGCACCCACCTTGCGTAGAGCTTTTGAATCCCTAGTTATTCGTGCAAGATGTTCCGCACCCTTTCTTCCGATATTACCAAGGCCTCAGCTATCTCACACACCTTTAATCGCCTATCGTCCAACACGCGATATTACGAACATTTTCGATAGTTTCCGGTGTGGTAGCAGTTTTTGGCTGTCCTCCACGTGGCTCCACGACGTGCGACCACGTATTAAATTCAATCCCTCACTTTTTAAATCTTGAAATTGAAGGAGCAGAGTTCCCATGAACTTTGTCAACTTTGGATGACTTTCTTTAGGGGTTGATCCATCCAAAACGCTATTCAAGTTTATCATTTTAATGAAACACACGCAAGACGTTTACAGCAAAGAGTGGTTTACACAAACTATTTGAGTGAACAAGTTGAAACTTGAGTAAAATTAATCATAACTCCAGGGAAAAGTGCCTTTTCAAAACATTTTTATTCACTAGATTTCGGGCACGGACGCCCTTCTACAGGAGAAAACTTGATAGAATGGCGTCCGTGCCCGAAAGCTAGTGAATAAAAATGTTTATATAAGACACTTTTCCCTGGAGTCCTGATCAATTTTACTCAATATTGATGCAAGGAATTATTTTATTAAAGTTGATATTTGTCCTACGAACTTATGACATACGCGCGCAGTGAGGAAACGTAATCTTTTGCCGGTTGGAATGCCATCTCTGGGATAGGCCGATAACCTTTCACCTTACCTTCATATTTCTGGGCGATATATCAGTTTAAACATGAAAATTTAATAACACACACCTCACACCTCTTAATAAATCACACCTATCAAGAGAGAAAACCTAAAATTCGTTTTCAATTTTAATATTTAAAAAAATCAAGCAAATAAATAAATAATTAAATCAAAAAGATCTGAGCCATTCCTTTAGTTATAACTAAATGGTTTATTAATAAATTCTGTAGTAACAATTATACCAAAAACAATTGTAAGCTTTTTCTCACGTGATATTATGTATTATAGAATAGATGATTTTAAAGATAGAATTGAGGTCAGGGAAAAGCTAACAATAGATATTCAGCAACAAACAATATATAGGACATATAATCTATAGCAATTCTAGCAAACTATAGAAATTCAATCTAGAATATGCTATATGGTATATATCTATATGAGGGCATGAGGATAGAAATCAGGATTATAGTTAAAATTTTTCTTTCATATCTCTAATATCCCTCTACAGCTCCCAAGTATTTATCCATTTTAAAATAGTGATGATAAACCAAACTTGATTGCCAATGTAGTATTCACGAATCTCACATTTCGAAATGTAGAAACAATTACTTTGAAGCGGCTTTTTTTCTGGATGTTTTCAGAAGTCCTCAGCTGAATATTGACAATTAGAAAATATTTCAGGGCACGTAACTTCAGCTGAGTTTGTGTCGATCGACCAACAACGAAAGTTGAATGACCCACGTTATATATGTGAAAAAAACAACAACAACTATTTCTTGTGATTTCTCTATAAGCTTCTGGAACCAAAAGATTTTTGGTCGTAGACAATTAACAATTCAAAATATTTTATTGACACTCTTAATCAAGTGTTACAAAAATTAATGGGAAAAATTAAATAAAGATAAATGATATTGTTTGCAATTAGATAATAAATATAAAAAGCTGTTCTAAGGGAGAGAGGTTCCTCCATCTTGAGAGAGTCCTCCTCCAGACAAGGACAGGACCAATTTGATCCGCTCTCAGTTCAATGTTGAGATAACACTTATAGAGACACGCCTTTTGGCCGTAGAGGTACAGTTTGCATCATGCTGACCAGAACCAACATCCCGAAATGCGTTCGTCGTTTGCTTTTCTTGATTTATCATGAAAATGGGTTGGACAAATATCAGGGAACAGGTTAAATCAATGTTTAGTTGATTTCTGTTCCACTAGATGACTTCGGCCATCTAAAATGATCATGTGAGCGCGGTCAGGAAATGTCTTTGTTGTTTTTAACACGTTAAATATATTCTTAGCAATTTACTCAATAAATTTGGTAGTTATTGTCTATCTTTCCTATCATAGCTCGATATGGTCGATAGCTGTTTTACCTCAGTGTCGAATTACGACAGGTTTCTATTTAACTATTTATTATTCTACATTGTCACCACAGTGGGGCGACAATATTTGTAGACTCGAAACTTATCATTCAACAAGTTTACTCCAGTATATGTGTTCAACCCCACTAGCGAGTGTAATGAAAAAAAAAAAGGATTCTGACCGGCTATAAGTATAAGTCAAACTGCCTCCTCTATAGATCACTGATATCAAGAAGTTTGCATTCTCGAGAATATTCTGTAATTTTATTTGATGGAAAGGAAAATCTTACATATTCATGGAAGTATTGGCAAGTTTATCGGCAGCCTCGTGGATACCTCGGGCAATACTTCCAATGGATATTGCGCTCCTTTATCGACTATTGTAAAGCAAAAAAAGTTATTTGTTTATTACTTTTCCATAATTGATTAGGATCCAGTTTTTGGTCTCCCAATTGTATTCCTGATCATGCTCCATGTGTATGAGAGAAGATGGTCTTGAACAGCCTCTTCCCTATTGTAGAGAGTGCAGGTTGAGAAGACTTCCAGCAGAATATTGACAGAAATACAAGGTATGTCCCATAAGTTCCCGGACTGGGTCCATAAAAAAAAAGGTAAGATTTTTTTTAAATTTTTTTATTAAAACTTTTCGAAGTAATCCCCCCTTGCTTCAACGCACCAGCGCCATCGTTTCTCCCAATTGTCGAAACAGTTTTTATAAGCCTCTTTTGGAATGCTCTTCAATGCTAACAGCGATTTTTCTATTATGTCATCCCTGGTGTCAAAATGTCTTCCTTTTAGAACTGCTTTAAGTTTGGGGAACAGGAAAAAGTCATTTGGTGCGATGTCTGGGAAATAGGGTGGTTGAAGTAGGATTTGTGTCCCGTTTTTCGCCAAAAAGCTAGTCATCAAGTGCGCTGTGTGAGGGCGAGCATTATCATGGTGTAGGATCCAGCCACCATTAGTCCATTTTTCTGGCCTTTTTTTTCGAATCGCTTCCCTTAGACGGCGAAGAATGCTCAAATACATTTCCTTAATAACTGTTTGGCCTGCAGGAAGATACTCGTGATGAACAATGCCCTTGTTATCCAAAAAAGCGACCAGCAACACCTTGTTTCTGGATATCAATATCCTGGATTTTTTGGGTCTAGGCTCAACCTGACCTCTCCACTCGGCAGATTGACGCTTGGTTTCAGGGTCATAGCCATAGACCCATGTCTCATCGCCTGTGATTATCTTGTCTTTCCATTCCGGATCTGTTCTTGTCATTTTAAACCTGTCTTCACAGGTTGCAAGCCGACACAGATTTTGCTCATTAGTGAGGAATCTTGGGATGCATTTTGCAGGAGTCTTTTTGAGCTTCAAATCTTCGGTTACGATCTTTCCAATCGTTGTTTTTAGAGATGCCTGTGTCTTGCTCTAGCTCCAACAAAGTGGTTCGAGGATTTTCTTTTATCAAATCGGTGATTTTTTGCACATTTTATCAGTACTTTGAAATTTTGGGCGTCCTTGACGAGGAGCATCTTCAATGGAAATTCGGCTAGCTTTAAATCTAGAGTGCCATTCAAAAACAGTTGTTTTCTTTGGGGCGTCATTGGGGAATGCTTTATTAAGCATTTCAAAAGTTTCGGTTGCTAATATTTGAAGTTTCACTCAAAATTCTATGCAAATCCTCTGCTTCAATTTTTTTCCATCGTAAAATCGCCGCAGCGCTAGGTGTGACCTTTAAATAAATTAGAATTACCTTGGCGCGCGCGTACCTACCGACTCGATATTGGTACCACCGTGTTGCCCGATATCTTTTCTATAATAAACAGTCAAATTTATTTACATTTTCCATTTATTTATTTTTTTATGGACCCAGTCCGGGAACTTATGGGACATACCTTGTATTTCTTTTGTATGAGATGCGGTCAGAAGGCTTTACTTTGATTTACACTTGTCAAATTGCCCAGCTTCGCTCTGACTTGCCTGAGTGGATTTTTGCCCAACGAATATTTTTTGTTTAATCATATTGTAACAAAGTATTCATTAATTTTTTTATTTTTATTAGAGTGGTCATTTTTATGTTTATATTTTGCTACTCTGTAAAATTCCCTCGTGGCTTATCTTTTGCTTGCCATTCATAGTTTGTCCTTGCCTCAAATAAATTGTTGTCTCCTCCTGAATTTTTGTTTTCCCTAATTTTCCCCGTGGCAATATATATAAATAAAAGAGACATATCCTAACCAGGCTCACATGAGCATTTGTAGATGGCACTGCGCCATCTAATGGAACAAAAATCAACTAAACGTTTATTTAACTTGTTCCGTGATATTTGACCGACCCAATTTCTTGATAAATCAACCACGAACGTGTTTCGGGGAGTTTGCAGCAGTCTCCAAATGTTTACCTCAACAACAGCCTCTAAACTGGAACTTCACAACTCCGCCTCCACAGAGAAAAGGTTATGTTTTCCTTAGCAACCATATCGATGGTGTGACATCGAGGCTTGTAATTAGTTTTCAGGTGTTAAATACGTTCGTTTTCTATGCAACACATAGTTGCGAAAAGAAACATTTTTTGTTGCGGAAATGTAATCTTTTCCTGATTTCTTGTGTTCGTTTTTAAATTGAAATTTATAATACAATATAATGCGGATTATGATTGTAAAACGACATTTAAAAATTATCCCGCATGTGTTTCTTTGAACGAAAAATCAAAATTTATTTTGAGAAGAAATAACGATTATTTCTAACCTTAGAGGTGAGTTATGAAAGGATTAATTGTGAAGAGTGATGATAAACGGAAAAATAAAGCGTCCAGGGATGGGAATCGTACCCACAGTGTTCTGCTTACCGGGCAGATGCCATGTCCACTAGGCTACCCTGGACATATTTTTCCGTTCGTAAAGAAACACATATGGATAATTTTCAAATGTCGTTTTACAATAAATTGAAATTATTTCCTTAAGATTTCATTTCTCTGCCTTCTGTATCCGTGTACAAGTATTGTTTTTAGCTATTCGAAAAATTTATGCCTAGGAATTTTTTGAGGTGGTCTCTCATTAGAGGTAATGTAAGGAGTTTTTTCAACAAAGGTGGTCGCTCATGGAGGTAATCGCCCATTGGAGGATTATCCAGAAGTATGGTCCAATGGTTGCTCGCCCTGCGGCGTATACATTCGGTCTATCATTTAGTCCAAATGGGAGGTAAACATTTTATTTCTGACCGTGAAATTCTTCAAATAGCTAGGAGAGAATTGATTACTGAAACGACCCTAAAATATTTAAATCCCCAATGTTTTTAATCGTTATTATTATTATTATTTTTAACCAACCAGGCACGATATTGAAATATTTGCGCCTATTACAGAGAAAACAAACAAATTAGAACTTAGAATTAAATATTTATAATTTTTTACATGTATTAATCGACAGAGTTCATAAAATGTATATAGATAAAGTGGCAGATGTAAGAGAGTTAAATCATTTAGATCAAGGAACAATTGATGTCTCACTTCTGTAAAGTTCAGACATAGAAAAGGTGAAGATAAGTTATTTTGACATTTAAATATACTTCGAATAATTTTCTGTTCCTCTTGATTGTAATAGAGGTGTTAATTTAAATTGAAATTTTGTTTTATATCTCATAAAGAATAATATTTACACACACACAGTTAATATAATTTAGAATTCTATAAAATAATCTCTCGAATCAATATTAATACATTAGGCCTCCAGGAAATAATTTCTTTTTCACAATTCTTTTATTTATAAATATCTCTAGCTTTCAGGTAAGAAAGCCCTTCTACAGGAGAAAATATTTATGTTGAATCACCAATAAGAATTTAAATGAAATAAAATGCCACTCGAAGCATTTTATTTAATTTTAATTCTTATTGTATTGGTGGTTAAATGTAAATATTTACTCCTGTAGAAGGGCTTTCTCGCCTGAAAGCTACGAGATATTTATAAATAAAAGAATTGTGAAAAGAAACTTTTCCCTGGATACCTAATGTTTGTATTTTAATAACATAGTTTAGAATTGAAATCAAATAAAATTGAGCTGGACAAGATGGCGAATTACAAAACAGACGATGGCGTGTTAGAGCCATATTATCATGCAAAAGATCACGTCTTGCCATGGCTAGATTGCAACACTCGTGACTGGTTGACCAATTGTATGGCGTTCATTTCATTTAGCCATTATTCTGCCTTAATATGTTTTATTCATATGCTAATGGTTTGCATATATCACATATCTTTCATAGCGGTATTTGGTAAAATTATTCAGGGTATGCCATGTAGAGGAAGCACGTGGTCTCACGTTTAACATTATATAGACATAAAATATTTAACAAATATGTCTTCTGTGTTATTTTTTAACTGAGTGTGACTCTAGAATAAATATTATATAGAGAATTCCATAGGTTTAGGTTAGATTTTGATTAATTCAAGATTTCATCAACCATTTTATAAAATTAAGAAAAAGGCATCTTCTGATTGTGCAACAAAAATTTTGTTGATGGATTGCGCCATTTTAGTTTCACGAACAGAAGATGTCTTTTTCTCAATTTATTCACCTGGTTTCAATACAATTTCCTTTCATACTATTTTTCACCTTTTTAAAATATAATTTTATTTTGAAAATAAGAACATCAAGACGCGAATGTTTCTTTCATACATAAATCAAACTTCTACTGTCCTTACTTCGATGAAAAAATATTGGGGAGGACTTGGTTCATCAGTGGTGAATATTCCCAGTGGTTTCGCCAATTTAATCCACCAGACCGCTTCCAATTGCCGAAACCGCTGGGAGGGTTCACCACTGATGAGCCAAGCCCTCCCAATATTTTTTCATCGCAGTAAGGACAGTAGAAGTTTGTTTTATGTATGAAAGAAACATTCGCGGCTCAATGTTTATATTTTCTATATATAAATGGAGCGTTATAACTTTATAAAAGTTTATTTTCCTTTTGACGTTTAGGCGACAAACTGTGGCGTTTTTTTTTCAAAATGGCGGAAAGCTTAATATATTGACAAAAGACAATATTCACTAATAATCTATCCACTTTTTTAAAAAAGGCGACACTGGGTTGCCGAAACGTCAAAAGGTCAATAAACTTTTATAAAAAGGTTGATTAAAAAGTCTTCAACATGAATTAATAGAAAAAATATTTGATTAGTAAAAACGACGCCTTTAAATGAAGATAAAGGGAAAAATATAGATAATCATATTTATATTATTTATAATGCATCATATTATAAATGTTCTAATAAAAGACACAATTTGATATTTGCTGAAGAGCGATTGCTCGAAGCATATTATATATTTATAATTTTATGTAATTCTACTGTCCTCAAAGCTTAGGTCCATAGTTCTTTTAAAATATCCATTCAAAGATTCTAGCACCAGTATCACTATAAAAAGAAAACCGAAAATGCAATATAACAGCGGTATGGTAGATTAAACTGGCGAAACCGCTGGGAGGGTTCACTACTGATGAGCCAGGCCTTCCCATTAATTTTTCCATTGTATCAAGGGCAGTAGAAATTGTTTAATTTTTAAAAGATTTATACGCGTCTATAATAGTTTCGAATTTCATAAGCTACCATACATATAATGTAATAATGAGTTCAATACTGGATAGAATATTAAGAAATTTAATTAAACAATTAAAAAGGTTTCTGGAGATGAGTTTCTTTTTATTTTAAAACCGTCTCAAACTTTCAGGCATATCTGCCCTTCTACAGGAGAACATGTATAATGAATAAAAATGCTGCATTTTGGAATCAGGCGGTGTTTTATTCATTGTATAGGTTCACCTGTAGAAGGACACAGATGCCTGAAAGCTTGAAACGGTTTTAAAATAAAAAGAAAAGAAACTCATCTCCGGAAACCTTTTTAATTGTTTAATTAATGTCCAGGAGATTTAAATCAATTGATTATTAAATTTAGTTAACAGATATTAAGGCGTTATTTTTTTATAAACGCAAATAAATAGGTATTTGAATTATAAATTTTACTTTGTGGAACATTTCCATCTCAGACTATCAGCTCTGTCTGACTACCGTATGGAAGAACAACGAGAAGATGTTGACATAATAAAAGGTTTTGTTGAAGACAATAAGAAAAATCAGTTTTGAAGAGAGACTTGATCTATGAGATTTGGTTAAAAAACAATGATCTAGCAATGCACCAATTACTCGACCTATTAAGAAATTAAAGCCGTGAAGATCGCCGAATGAATTGATTTCTCGATTGTTAGAAAAAGGAGTAAACACCACTACAATATAAATTACGGCCAAATGAGTATAAAATCATTAGATGTTAATGTGACTCATTGGTTACAACTAATGTAGAAATATAATTGATC